CATGGGACCCAGATGCACAAGAACTACCGCGGTGAGGTCATCTACCAAGCAGAAACGGAAATCCACTTTCCTCAGATGACCGCAGGTGATACACTGTACTTCGCTGCCCCGTGCTCGTGCTCCCCGCAAACCGTCTGCCAGGTGTTACACGCCAACAGTACGCGGAACACATGCGGGATGTCGTCATGGCCATGCTCAGTCTGTCTCACACCATGAACACCAAGGTTGGAAAACGAATACATTCGAGGTGTCTCTGGTGGCGAGCGCAAGCGTATCAGTATCGCCGAAACCACTCTGAGTGGCAGCCCTCTGCAATGCTGGGATAACAGCACCCGTGGTCTTGACAGTTCCACCGCTCTTGAGTTTGTCAAGTCATTGCGCTTATCGACACAGTATTCCGGCACCACTGCCATCGTGGCCATCTACCAGGCCGGCCAGGCGATTTATGATGTGGGTAATCTCCCAACTGGGCACATCGTACTGTACTGACATGCTGCAGATTTTCGACAAAGCCATCCTCCTATACGAAGGTCGCCAGATCTTCTTTGGCAATGCTGTCCACGCCAAACGCTACTTCGTCGAGATGGGTTTCGAGTGCCCAGACCGCCAAACAACAGCTGATTTCCTGACATCGATCACGAATCCCGCCGAACGAATAATCCGTCCTGGATTCCAGGATAAAGTCCCCCATACCCCAGACGAATTCGCCCAGCGGTGGAAGTCCAGCCCCGAACGCCAGGCGTTGCTAGATGATATTGAAGAATATAATTCAGAGTTCCCCCTCGGCGGCGAGCAATTGGAGAAGTTCCAGCACTCCAGATCAGCAGAAAAGTCCAAGTCTGTTCGCAAATCATCTCCCTATACCTTGTCGTATGGTCAGCAGATCAAACTGTGTATCTGGAGAGGATTCAATCGTCTAAAAGGAGACATGTCCATGACGCTTACCAGCGTTATCGGCAACATTGTTATGTCGTTGATCATTTCCAGCGTGTTTTACAACCTACCCGATGATACCAGCTCGTTCTTCGGCCGCGGCTCCCTGCTTTTCTTTGCTATCCTCATGAACGGCTTTGCCAGTTCATTGGAGCTTTTGACCCTCTGGCAGCAACGCCCAATCGTTGAGAAACATGATAAATACGCCCTCTACCATCCATCCGCCGAAGCGATCAGTTCGATGATTGTGGATCTACCGTCAAAAGCGATTGTTGCGATCGTATTCAACTTAATCCTCTACTTCATGGTTAACCTTCGCAGGACGCCTGGTCACTTCTTCATCTTCTTCCTCTTCTCCATTTCCACGACCCTGACCATGTCCAACATCTTCCGCACCATTGGCGCCGTCTCTAGAACCCTTGCCCAGGCTTTGGTTCCGTCCGCGATTTTCATGCTTGCGTTGGTCATCTACACCGGTTTCACGATTCCTGTTCGAGACATGCGTCCATGGTTCAAATGGATTAGTTACATCAATCCGATCCAGTATGCC